ATTCCAACTTAATGTTTAAAGCCTCAACTCAGTTGCTATGGCTCAACCTTTTCTTGGTGTTTTTTTCCGATAGTGGTGCCTATTTTGCCGAAACATGGGCTTTGTAGATGATTGCGACATTAATGAGCCTTGACATTTGTTCAGTGATTTTTATGTCACGTTCTTCTTGTTCTGTTTGGAAGGGCTTCCAGGACTAGCTAGGCTACCACAAAGGTATAGAGGGAACAGACGTATTTCGCGAAATACATTCGTTTTGGATGTGTGTTACAGACCAGAAGATCAGTCATTATAATAATACAAGGACAATTGATTGGCAGTTGGCTGGTGGTTTCCCCACTCACGACCGTACTTGATCCCTAGGCAAAGTCTGAGTTAGTGCGCGTTAGATTTCTTTGTTAAACGATGACATCGTTGTGCTCTTCACAGCATAAAATGATAAGCAAACTCTGGAGAATGATACATAATTGACAATGGTTTGGTAGAAAATGGCGCTTTAGCAGTACAAACCAGTTAATTTCAAAAGAGAACTATATAGTTAGATGCAGAACTTGGAAAAACAGTTTTGCTGGCATTAATATGAAATATTTATAGAAATTTATGCATTGCATTGCATGCGACAGTAAAATGCAAAAAAGCCATAAAATTGAGCCTGCAAAATTACTTCTCAAGTAACTTTCAAGTGAAAAAGGTAAATAAATTTCTATTGCTTTAAATTCTATGTTATAAAAAGATTTGCACCAGCAGGTTAACCTCAGCTAATGAATATAGTTCATTGGTGGGGGGTGTGTGCGATAGACTTACCTCCACGTGGTGCACCCTGGGCAACGTATACTCATACGGCAAAAAAGTCTGTTAACCGGCAGTTGACTTCTCACTTAAAACTATCATAACTCCACTGTATGTCATGTTCGACCCCTTTCACAGAACTCATCTTACCTCTTCTTCTCCGCCTTTGTGTCTGTCTGTCTCTTTTACATTTGTGAGTCGCTCTTCTGTTCCCCTGTCGAATTTTTCTCACTTTAATGCTCCTCCCTTCTGTGAAGCCCGAAGTCAGCTAAAGGGTTAATGATAAATATCAAAATACCTGCCATTTGAAAAAAAATAATAAAAAATAGTTCATTGGGGCAGAGGTACCAAATTGATTGGCTTAAGTGGCCAGCCTGTGGAATAATATATCAAAGGCGGGGCTATATGCCAATTCGTTTATTTGTTGGCATTGACATGTTCTATTCGGAATTAGTCAAGTGAAGATTAGAACATGTTGACTTAACACTATATAACACTTAGCGTTTAGTTAGTCCGTTTATTTGAAAATCAGTGTCCAGGTTCTTGTTGTGTTAGGCGTTGAAATCGTTAACGCTTATTTAATATTAATTTAAATAGCAGAAATCACCATTTTTATTAAAAACGAATAGGATTAGATGGTCAATTAAACAAAACTAGTTACATTGTACGAAAGCATAGATAGCTAGTACAATTGTGACAAATCGACAAAAAAAACCATTTAATATAGATTGAATTTTGTTACTGTTTGAGCCTAATTATCCTTTTAAATATTCACGAACCTCAAAATCAAGCGGCATAACGACAAAGCCATCGAACATATTAACCAAAATCTGCAATACTTGAATTAGGTGTTTATAAACTCGTTGACATATTCGCATTATATTTATTTGTTTATTTCAAATGGCAGGCGGCTCGATAGCAGTACATTTATTTATATCAAATGGCAGGCTTTATGGAAACAAAATTTATTTATTTATTTCAAATGGCAGGCGTTTTGAAAGTTATCATTAGCCCTTTAGTTGACTTCGGCTTCAACAGAAGGGAGGAGCATTAAGAATCTATTTGTTTATTTCAAATGGCAGGCGGCTCGATAGCTATCATTAGCCCTTTAGCTGACTTCGGGCTTCACAGAGGAAACAACATCAAAATGACAGAAAGTCGAGGGGAGGGAACAGAAGAGTGATTCACAGATGTAAAAGAGACAAGCAGACACAAAGGCAGAGAAAAGGTAAGATGAAAACTGGGAAATTGATCGCATATGACACACAGTGAAGTGAGAAGTCAAATGTCGGTTTATATTAGGTTGGCAACTAAGTCATTGCCGATTTCAAATAAGAAGGCAAATTCGGAATTTTTGTTTAAAAATATAACTTTATTCAATTAGATATTGGCCATTCTTGTCGATGACCTTTTCCATCCTTCTGGCAGAGTAAAAATTCCCCCTTCGTAAAATGTCTGGTCTTTGCTATTAAAAAACTGAATTAGGTGTGATCCGACATCATCCGCGTTGTTAACAATTGTACCATTTAAAGAGTTTTGCATGGAACGAAACAAATGGTAATCCGAAGGCGCAAGGTGAGGGCTATATGGTGGGTGTGACAAAACATCCCAACCCAGTTCCAATAATTTTTGCCGAGTAACCAAAGATGTGTGGGGCCTTGCGTTATCACGATGGAAAACAACACCCTTCCGATTTGATAATGCCGGCCGCTTATCTTCAATTGCATCCTTCANTATAGAGTGAATCTGTCAACAAAAACGGCAATGACTTAGTTGCCAACCCAATAGACTTTTTGCCGTATGAGTATAAGTTGCGCAGGATGCACCACGTGGAGGTAAGTCTATATAAAATTGTCAATTATATCCAACAGTTAAATTTCTAAATTACTCCTACAATGTGCTTTTGTTTATATCGTCCAATTGTTCCACATTTAAAAAAATGCACGGTGATTTCAATCATTTAAAATTGGTCGAAATTGGTTTATCATCCTCATGTACAAACCATTCAAAGAAGTTGCTCAGTTCTGCTTACTGGCTAAATTGTATTTAACTTTTTTGTAAACTCTGCTGACCGCTTACATACTGATCAAGTGCTATTTCTGCATGGAAGACATTATAGAGCTGAGTGACTTCTTGCCCTAATAGTGGTGTAATGTTCATTCCCATTGGAAGATAATTCGACAATTTCTTTCAACATTTATAATTAGTGTAAGGGGGTGTGCGATAGACTTACCTCCAAGTGGTGCACACTGGGCAACGTATACTCATACGGTAAAAAGTCTATTAATTGGCAGTTGACTTCTGACTTCAAACTACCATCACCCCATTGTGTGTCACATTCGACTACTTTCACAGTACCCACCTCACCTTTTCCCACTTTTGTGTCTGTCTCTTTTACATCTTTGAAACTCTCTTCTGTTCCCCCTCTCCCTCTAGACTTGTTTCACTTTGATGTTCCTCCTCCTCTGTGAAGCCTGAAGTCTACTAAAGGGCTAATGATAACTTTCACAACGCCTCCCATTTGATATAAATAAATAGACAATTAGAGTAAGTGTAATCTGAAAGGTAACTGAATTCAACCTTTTTTATACGGTTAAGGGGAATCTTGCCCTGTCATTATTCTACATCCTAAAAGAAATCTGGCCAGATTTAACCAGAGGAATAAGCGCATTGATTTTAACGTAGCAGTTATGGAAGTATATTAAAAGAGAGTTAGGGTTGATATGAATGGTAGAGGTGGGTAAGCGTCGAAATTGGGCGTGATAGTGCCTTGGATAGAAAAGATATGACCTCGATCAAGATGTCATTTTATTTATTATGCCCCGAATACTTTCCTAAAAGTAACTATTACCACACAAATATGATCTGTTTCGAGGCAAAGATTGTTGAAAGTTCAAAGAAAACATCTAGAAACTCAATTTATCCACTCTTGTGGTTAGAAACATTGTTTTCTTACAGTAGGGTAATTGAGAAGTTCTGAAACCTTGCCTTCCTGCATAGGATGGCGATTTGGTGTTACTATAAATTTATTAGACATGAGGAGTATAATGTCTTCAAAATACATGAAAGATTTAACAGGGGAATAAGAAGCAAAAAGATTATATTTCTCTGTTTGATCGAGTAAATGATAGCACCATTTGAGGTCTTTGATTATTTCATGAGTTAATAGACTTCGATCATAACATTACCTCTACTTTAAAAATAACCATATTATGGATAAAAATGTACCTTGTCTTCCGGGTTTCAGCGGTTTATTTTAACGTGCTAGACAGCTGACCAGTTTAACAATACGCTGAAATCCCTTTATACAAAATTATAAACACCAATTTTCATCATAAAGATACCGCCCTTGCCTCTTTGAAGACAAAAAGTATTTGACATATCTTGGCAGAAAAGTGTCTTTAGTACAATAGATAAGGCATAAATTTGTGTATAAGTATGAGGTGTCATATACACTGCTTCAATTGACATTTCAATTTTAGATAGGCTCTTAGTAAGGGACAGTTAGTCGCGATCTTTACATAAATCTTAGCAATCACTTCTGCCTTTAATTAGTCATCGTCTCTGACCAAGAACAACAGAGCCTTTTTAATCACCCTTACTCCAAAGCCTGAACATCTCAATAAATCAGAAATAGGTTAGGATCATTAAAGCACGATCCACGCTTCTCAAAGCTTTTAACGATCAGCTTTATGTCTACATATTCTTTCCACTGATTCTCTTTTACATTTCCTCGACAATTTTTTTTGGCTTTTGATGAATCAACTCGCAAAAAACAGTCGCTTTCTTTATTACTTAATTATCGTGCTCAGTAACTCTTCAATATTCTAATTTTGTTCAACTCTAAAAGGCGGATCTAACAATTTCTGGATTTATGGTTACTGTATACACCTTTGTCAAACCTGCGGTTACTATAGCAAAAGTATTGCTATAACAGCCTAATAATTTTTCTAACTACACTTTGTAATGATCACTGTCTATTTTAATTGTTAGTGTCTCCCATCACGATTGATTTATCTGTGACATTCTCAAACAGTAATCGAGCAGAAAATAAAACTGCAATTTATTGCTTACAATCGCGTAGAAGCTTTTTTTATTGGCCACAATGGAACATAAAGGGCATTGAGTATATGATACTCAGTAAGTGGGTTATAAATGACTGGTTGAAAGAAGTGACTTAACACTGAATATCATTTTAACCAATATAGTTTGACTTAGTTGTCGGAAGAATCCCTTGCCACTTCTTCATAATCCTTTACCAATGAAGTCATATTTACCAGCGCTTCGTTAAATTCGTCTTCCTCCATACCTTCTCCCACATACCAATGAACGAAAGCTCGTTTCGAGTATAACATGTAGTATTTACGAACGATTCTTTGCCAGGCTTGTCCAACTGCTGAGTTGTTGGCCAACATAACCACGTTCTTGCTCATCTGCCCAATTCCACTATCCCATCTAGAAACTGGAGTTTCAGTTGTTATACCGACTTTAAAACCGGTTGGACACCAATCGACAAACTTCAGCCCGCGACAGTATTTCATTTCAGCCAGAGCATCATAAACTTCAGCCGGGCTTACGTTACCTCGATAAAGTAGAGCACAAGACATGAATTTTCCATAAGTTGGATCAATCTTGATCAACTGGTTCTCACGATCAAATACTGATTTTGTTATTTCTTTCACCCGCGATGGTTCATATTCTGTCTTGTCGGGAGAAATAAAGGGAGCGAAATTAGCTAAGGGGAAGTGAATTCTTGGATAAGGGATGAGATTAGTCTGGGTGACATTGAGGTCAGCCATTAGAGTATTCTTAAATCGAAGAGAGGCGGTAATTGCACTAACAACTATTGCTGTAAGTCGGTTAATCTTTGTGTAAGTAGTATATCTTGATGAAAGAAACCTGGAGCACACATCATATAAGGCCTCGTTATCCATAAGAAGACCCATATTGAAGTCTTCCATAGCAAAATGTTCACCAAAAATACAATTGTAAGGTTCAACAACGGCGGGTGAAAGAGATGGAGCTGGGTATATTGGGATTTCTACTTTCGTATATTTTCGATAATCTCCAAGAACATCCAAAATGGCTGCTGTAAGACCAGCGCCAGTACCACCACCAAGGCTTCTGAAGAAAAGCAGACCCTGCAAACCATCACATTGTTCAATGGTACGCCTAACTTCATTGAGAATAGGGGAGAGAAGAACCTTCCCTACGGTGAAGTAACCTCGTGCAAAGTTGTTTGCCGCATCCTCATATCCGGTGATCAGTTTGTCTGGATGGAAAAGACTGCGCCAGGGTCCAACTCTAATTTCATCTAAGATAGAAAAATTTTGCTCATTAGAAGCAAATGTTCATCATAATAACTAGGAATTTATGAAAATTTACCAATGACAGAAGGTTCAAGGTCAATGAAAAGACATCGGGGAACATATCGACCTTTTTCGGACAGATTGAAGAAAGTTTCTACCCATTCCTGATCATGGGGATGTTCATAAAGTGATCCATCAGTTTTAACAGCGTGTTCGGCGCAGTAGAGCTCCCAAACTGCGTTTCCCACTTGAACGCCACATTGCCCAACGTGTATAGAAATAACTTCTTTCTAAAATCAAATAATTTACAAAAAAATGCTTCAGACAAAATTTTAGATATTTTAAATCTATTTCAATGTAATAACAGAGTATGAGGCTATAAAATAGCTATTTAATATCTGTATACCATGATCCAGCAACAATCCGCTTAGAATGTCGCGCGTATGAACGGATAATGCTGGGTCAATATAATCACATGTCCAATATTTTGATTCCATACTAACACATGACTACATTAAGGTGGTAGATATTCCCTTTTTAACTTCGGAAGAACAATCATACTTGAAACAATCAACCATGTTGCTTTATTTTAATGAAGCCAGAAAATGTCTGCTTTTACTTTGCTTGGGTTCTTATTATACCTCAAAGTAGGTAATTGGGCTAATTCGAATAATATATTGTTACCTCACCGAGTTACGAAAGGCAAAAGGTGATATTTCTTGTATTTTTTTAATTTAATATAACTTATTTATTAATCTTTTATCTGCTGTTCTTCATTAAAACTCCTTTTGTTTTAATGATCTTTAAAACGCATCTTGTTCCCAGCGTTCAGAAGTATTGCAACATATTTTTACTGCGTGAAATTTTAGTTTTTTTCAAAAAAGCTTCGGGTGATGTTAATTATGTAAGATGCCTTCTGGTTATGGTTGGATCAACTGCAAGTCTTGGAATAATCATGAGAAAACTTCTCTGAAGTCATGCTACCTTGTTATCTATGCAATCGAATGTCGCCTATATTTGGTCATTTTCCAAGGGGATTTGAACAAGCGATGATCAGTATTTTCAGGAGAAGAAGCTAAGAAAAGTCATCTTTTCGTTCAATTCCATAGCTTTCCATTTTGAATGACCTTTGATCATGGCAGACACGTACTTATTTCCACTTCCCAAAAGCTTCAGTAGCATCATGGGCTTTCGTATGTCGCTATTTGGTTAGTCCAAGATTCAAGTCTTATTCTTGTCTCTACAGCTAGCCTTAACAAAAAGATGCACTCAGTTTCATTAAATTCGACAATCTGCTTTTAACCTAACTCAATAAGTTTATTTGTTGGAAGGTAGGCTAAATGAGGCCCAATTTTTTGCCATTTGTATTAGGCACCTACTTTACATCGGTTCCTTTATCTTCCCTTACTAATGCTTTTTAATTATCTCCGAAATAAATCCTCTTGGCCATCAATTCAAAGTGGCATTTGTCTCTTTTCCTCTGAAACTGCAATTTAGTGTGGCAGGCCATCTAGAAAAATAGTACCATAACACTTCCATCTCCCATTGGCTCAGTTTCCATATTTTTAACAAAAAAGATAAATTCCTAAAGAATAACATTAGATTTTTAATTTAACATTTAAGAAGAACTCTGGCAGACAATAAGTGACAACGGACCTTTTTTATCCCTCAGCCAGTTTAAAACCCATTACGCGCTTCAAAGCTTATAAAAGACAATTCTAAATGTGCTCAATAAAATTAAGAATGTATTCAAGGATTCAGGGTTTAAAATCTATTTTTAGAGGGGATTAGAAGCTGTTGGAACTCTGGATAAGAGTTTATGGGACAAATCTAGACAGGTACTATTAAATGGGCCGTGGTGAGGTCTGGAATCCTTGGAGAGAATAAACGAACTCTAAATCCATACTATCTAAGCAAATTTTGCGCCCAATTTAAGTGTTTAAACTTTTGTCCATCAGTCACGCAATTTTGAAAGAAATAAAGCAATGAGGTTTATTAACCGACATTACTTAAATTGCTGTGCAGAACTTTCTACCGAAGTCATTAAATCCATCAATCGAGTAAAGTCATTTTTGTGGCTTATCATAAACTTCGCTTGATTAACTAAACCTGGATCAAATATTATTTCATAGTCTAACGTGGAAAACAAAAAATAAATTTTATAGTCTTAAATATGTCATCAATCGAAGCAAAAAGGATTGCTCCCATTCTTCACTTTGTCAGAAGAAAATGGCAGAAGCAATTTCTCAAAATACGGCTCCTTTGCTTACTGTGGTGTTTTTCGTTACCAATCAGAAACATTTCAAAAATATTTTCTAAAATAGTAAAATTCGCGGCGAAGTGCAAGTAGACTATTAATTCAGAATATGTATCACCCAGAACGTTATTGACCCATTTAAAATATTAGCGAATGAGTGGGATGTGCGATAGACTTACTTCCAAGTGGTGCACACTGGTCAGCGTATGCACATACGGCAAAAAAGTCTATATGATGGCAGTTGGCGTCTGACTCCAAACTACCATCACACCACTATATGCCAATTCGACCCCTTCACATTACTCATCTTACCTTTTCTCTGTTTTTGTGTCTGCCCGTCTCTTTTACATCTGTGAATCGTTATTCACTCCCCCTCTCGACGCTTTGATGTTCCTCCACCTCTTTGTGAAGCCCGAAGTCAGCTAAAGGGCTAATGATAACTATCAAAACGCCTGCTGTTTGAAATATAGAAATTAATAAATATTAGCAAATGAGTGGTATTTAGAAATTGAATAGTGGTTTATAAGACTATTATTATTTCTTACAGTGCTTAACTGAATGCCTTCGAAAATGCAAATATGGTAATCAACTCAACTATTCACTGAAATTACGACTACACTTCTTTACAG